CTTAAAGAATTGGGACACCAAAACAATCGGGACTTTTAATAAAAAAATAAGCAAGTTAAATAAACGTAGATAAGTAAGTAAAATGTTTATTTATCATTACATCAAGATCAAACGATCAACTGAACATTGTTTATTGTGTTTTAATACAGACAATCACTAATTTATATATAAAAACAGATGGATAACATTTCTGAAACGATATCAGAGGATAATCCACGAAATGAAACTTTCTATATTATGTTTTAATATAATTAATTATTACGTTTAAAATCATATTGATATTCTTGAGATAAAATTAAAATAGCAATCAGCGAAATGTGAAATATGCAGTTACATGTTTAGGGAAATTAAATAGTTTCAACAAAAGAAACTAAGATTTCTTTAATTAAATAGAAACTAAAGTAATAATTAGCGCCGGACACCTTTAAGTGCTGTTAGTACACGGCAAGGACCTTTCGTCTGGCCGTGCTCGCAATTTAAGAAAGAGTTAACGAATTTATTCTTATATTTTGTATTATTTATTTTTCGTTAAAATCGTCACCCGCAAATAGCGTCCCGCTTCTCTGATTCTGACGCCTCTAATGAGTGCTGAAAACCCCTCTGATGAGTGTTGACGTCCCGCGAGAATCGAGACAAATTGATCACCCTAATTCGCATCGATCCTCCGAATAACGACGCGTGAACAAAAACGCTAATAATTCCCCTCCAAAAGCGAGGAATACAAATATAATGAGAATTCCGAGCGAGCGAACGATTCTCCGATATTTATTTCTGTTTCAAGTTTCGCCGTTGCAAATAATCCCGACCCCTGCGCGCTGACCGACGCGGGCTATTTTTTCCAGGCATTTGTAACGTCGTCGAGCAAGGCGGACGCGCCGATATTTTACCGTGTTTCCGCCCCCGAAGACATATTCCCTCCGACGCGATCATGCCCCGTGCGTTATTGCATGCGCGAAAACGCCGCTCCGGAGGAGGACATCGTCCGCTTCACCGTAACTTTACATCTCCACCAGCGTTCCCCGCAATCCCGACGTCCGCATTCGAGCACGGTTCGACGAACTCTCCTGGAAAAACGATCGGTAGAGGGGGGTTACGCGGCGGGATGAGCGTACACTCCAGCTGGATCGCCGCCAAGAGTCTTCCCTTCGTTCCTTTGATCGCTCCGTCGGTCGAATCGAGCTGCTGTATATTATCAATATCGGTCCGCCTCCGATCCAGATTGCCGTCCAACGGCGAATCCCGGGGACATGCATCGTCGGCGAGACCAACGTCGAGAAAAGGCGGGAAAGAGGAAGTGAGAGAGAGAGAGAGGGTCGCGCGTGAGAGCGCGAAGAGCGGGAGTAAGTTAAATTGCGAGCGTCCCGGTGCACGGCTGTCGCGCTTACCCGGTCGGCTGGAAGCCCATTTCCGATAGAAACCAACCCCTCTTCCTTGTCAGTCAGGCGAGGCGAAGCCTCCCATCCCCGCTCCCGATACCCATTTTCGGCCAATTCCGGATTGCGCCCGCGTTGATCCGCTCTCGCGGATCTGGCGTACCCGAGAAATACCTGGGATTGATTACTCTCGCAGGGTACATACGCACACATACACCGGAGACAGGCAACCCCCGGGCTAACTGGGCGACTACCCCGCGACGTCCGTACCAAAAAATTAGATCGCCGCAACTGCGGGCACCGCACTGCGGAGCCGGATATGCGCGTCATGCGTTAACGTTCGAGCAGCCAAGACGGCAACGTCAGCTACACGTGAATCCGGATAAAGTCGCGAAACTCTTCCTTTCACCGCGGTAGAAACCAGAAATATATACATCTTGTTGACCATTTTTTGACACCGCTGAGAATTTCCTTAATCTGATGCACGCGCAGCGCGCGCGCCATTGACAGGCGTTGGTGTCGGCGCGCGTTTGTCGGTTTATCGTCGACGCATTTCAAATGCAAAGCTGCCGATATATATGTTACGGGGAGAGAGAGAGAGAGAGAGAGAGAAATAGCGCTCGGCTTTAAAATGAAATTACCCGATAATCTGATTGACGGAATACACGGGGGAAAAATAACTCTCGTAGTATAACGCCCCGCTTTCTTTCTTTCTTTCTCCCCTCCCCCCCTCCCCTTTCTCATTCTCTGAAGTATCATCTGTGCAAAAGAGCGAGCTGAATGTATTCATGAACGCAGTCGCTCAGTGTAATTTGACAAAGAAACGCGTTACCTTTTATCGGGTTTCATTGCTCCTTGCTTGCCCGATCGAATATCGAGCGTTGAATATTTAACGTGGGTGGCAATTTGCGTTTGTCGGAGACAGCTTGACGTTTCATTTCTTGATATATACGCCCCCCGATCATCGCAATCCATATTTATGGGGTCTCAAAAGTATAGCGGGGAAGTGCCGGAACGCCGCGGCGGATATGGTGAAAATATATCCCTTCGTCAAGTCGTGGCCCTTCGTCGAGTAAAACTCTTCCCGACGCGCCGGTTAAAGTCACCGTCGCGATTCGATCGCGCCGGTGCAATTATTCCCTGCCTCCGTTCGGCATGCCTCCGGAAGTCCACGTATTGCGCGTCACAACCGATGTCGGATCTCCGGAATGTGATATCCAGAGTACGAGCTTGACACATCTTCATCATGCACTCGGTGTAAAATTGTCAAAGCACTCGAATAGTCACGCTCGATGTCGTTCGCTATCAAGAGAGTTTAATCGAGACCGACGCCACTCCTCTCCGCGTTTCTCAACCGTGGAGGTGATACGTCGCTCGCAAAACTGCATCCCATCGCCGAGACCGTTTGACACGAGTGGGCACGTATCATCAGTCGTTGCTTCTTCAGTTGCGCGAATTTTTATTTCACATGCGTTCGGAACACCACGAATACATACGTTGGCGGCGTGACGCGATAATTACAAAAAGGGACGCTGTGATTATCATTCCTGAATATTAACATCGCACATCCATCTTGCGTGCTCGCGCCCGCACGTGTGTTTATACATGTTTGTACAGACTTGTTTTACACACCTGTGCGCACCGTGTGACAAAATCGTCGCGTGCCGGATAAAATCGTCGGGCGAATCGGATGGATTCATCGCTCGTTAATTGAACAATTTGCAAATCGAAGGTTATCCATCACTCTTTCGGCTTTCGAGATTTCGAATGCACTGCGATCGCATTCAGCGGTATTAGCGTCAACGACTGTATTCAGCCCTGTCTCCGCGGCTGAAATATCCCGCTGCCGCGCGCATGAATATATATTCAGCAGCGCCGGGATGCCGTCCCCATAAAATCGCAACCCTATCTTAGTTTTCCGTTTGACTGCATTACCATTGATCCGCGACCCGTGCAACGATTGCACGCTTGATACACCGGAATAACGCTGTATTAAGCAGATCGCGCGGCTTTTCGCTCGTTGCGCAGAGAGATGCGGCGAGAGGGCAACGGGGAGATTTCCCGTTGTCTTCCTCCTTTTTAATTAACTGATATTGGCAACACGGCTCTTGTATCGGCGAGAAATTGCTCGGGGAAAATGTGACGAATAATTTTTACCTCTTCTTCCTTCCTTCGTTGCAATGAAAAGTTTATTAACTTACACGAAGTTGTATCAACGAGCTAGAATAATAAGCGATTTAATTGAGAATTTCGATAGAGAAAAGAAAAATAATAGGATCTTTCGGGCGATGTGCGTGTGTGTGTGTGTGTGAAGGATAGATCGCGATAACAATCAATAATAGAGCAATATCCTCGCGTCGCGAAGTTATGTAATTCAATTTGCGAAAAATTCAATACCTCGGCCATGTCAAGCCTCACGTTTGTAACGCATTTATACCTGGATTTATCGAACCGTGTCGTAGCGCGCACGCGAGGTCGTGCACGGCCGGGCGGCGTTTGATTTTATCAACTTTAATCGCCGAAATATCGTCCGCGAAGATTAATACCCGTCGAACGTTTCGGCGATACCGCGACGTATCATCCCGTGAATCGGAAAACGAGATGCGCCCGCGAGAGAGAGGGAGGCTTTCGATGCTTAAATGATAATCAGTTGTCATCGAGAACGTTGCATCATATATGCGCAATTAGCCGATGGAAAATTAATATTTTGCTCGGAACGGCGAGAACGTATACGCGAGGCAGATGATTATACGCGTTAACGCGCTACAGAACAATCGAATAGAATAATCGGAGTCCCCGGTCTGCACAGAAAATTTCTCGTGGTCTAATCGGAATCCATTTCCCAACATATGATGGATTCTGGTTGGGAAATCTACGCAGGTTCTGGCTAGAAATGTAATATTTCAACTGTACGATTCTGAGTGAGGAACGTAAACAGATTTTTCTTCGCTCATCCCCAACAATTTCTCAAAGATTTCTCCGGGTTTCTCGTCCTAAGGACGTCGCAAACCAATTTGGGACGTCCTAACGTCGTAGACTGAAAACGGTACATGTGGCGCGTGTTAACACGCAAACTAATGTACTGTCAGAATTCGCGCAATGCTTTGACAGCTGTAAACGACACATGAAGCAAGCAATATGACGCGGCAATGCGATAGCCAATCACAGCAGCAGAATCACCGTAAAGGGGCTTCAGCGTTTCGATACATTCGAGATATTTAAAGGGGAAGAACCTTTTTCGGAAGAGGAAACACGATTCACTGGAATGTTTGTGTTACTTTAACATGGGGAATATATGAAAAGGTACACAGAATATATTTAATTAACATATTTATTGTTAGCATATTGCTTTTTAATATATGTGTATTCACCTTGTTAAAATAACACAAATTTCAGCGAACCGTTTTTAACGTCAAACGTTTTACCATGTTTGAGATCAGAACGAGATTCCCAATTGGTATCGTAGTAAGATAACCTACTTCGGGACAACTTTGGGTATTCTAATCGGGATCTAACTGCATGTAAGAGGGAAAATTTTTGTTAGACCGGTCATGATACGCGCGACGATCGCGTAATGACCTCGCAGATCACTCGTAATTAACCAAAACGATCGTATGTTGGTTGCAGCGAAGCTGGACGGCGTGAAGACGTACATGAGGATGAGGAGAGTGCCGAACCATCTGCAGGTGAAGGTCATCAAGTGGTTCGACTACCTGTGGTTGACGCAGAAGTGCTCCGACGAGGAGAAGGCAGTGAGTTGTCTTCCAGGTAAGAGGCCCCTTCTTACATCCCGAGACCTCCTAACTTATTTATTTCGTAACTCCCGAGATTCATAATACCGATAACCGATAAACGACGATTAATTCTCGCCGCAGAGAGGAAAAACGTGAGAAGCGCGCGCGCGCGAATAAGATATTAACGGTCGTATCCGTGGGAAATCACCTCACGCAAGCTTCACGGTGGAATTCCGTTGGAAAAAAAAAGAGGAGACGAACGAAAAGAGAAATGAACGGGCGCTTATCTTCGACACGTGCGCGCGAGAATTCATGAAATCAGTGTGGTGCGATTACCCCGGGCGGACCCGTGTAACCGTTTATCTCCGTATTAATTATTTATTAACTCCTCAGCGTCTCTCGTTATCGTGATTAATGCGGAATAGTAGACCGGTGACGGAGCACAGGCTTGCGCTCCTGTTAAACGACGCGAGAAATATATGAAAATACGCCGGTAGCGGCGAGAGGGGTCGTAACTTTATAATATTTATATAAGTCTGAAACGCGCCCCTCCTTCTCCCCCCATTCCTCCCACATTAAGCGTCGGCTAAGCAGGTCGCGTTAAACTCGCGCTGTTTTACTAGCGCGTAACTTAACGAACGTGTAATTAACATAATCTCGTGCCCATTGCGAATTCTCTCTCTCTCTCTCTCTTTCTCTTCTCTTCGAGAGCGAGGTTTACTATTTTCAACAGCAAATTCATTAGTCAAATAACGGCAATTTCCCGGTCACTCGAAGCGAAGTGTTTACGAGACGATACCGTCGCGCGTCTCGCCGGTGCGTTAACGTTATATAATTTCACGGAAAACATTTGATCTCGTAACCGCTGGCGGGATCTGCAAGCTAAAATGCGAGCAAACCGAGCGACGCGTAAGCAGGCAGTGTATGTACGATTGCCAACATCGGTCGTCCTTTAATGCAAACGCGGGCGTCGGGTATCAACGGGGGTTGCACATATCCGCGTATCTCTGTGTGTGTATATGCACGCGAATTTTCGCGCGGGATGTCGCGCGAAATGAAAATACTGCGCGCGCCGTGTGCGTGTGAATTTTGCGCTCGCGAAATTTCTTCGTTTTCCGCATTTGTTGAGTCGCTTTGTAATTCAATCGCGAATAAATAAGCGGCCACGTCACGTATGCGCTTTGCGTGCGAACGCACGCACGCTATAATGTGCACGTCGCAAGAAAGAACACGCGTGATTATTCTCTTACGCGCGGCGGGGACGGACGAATTTTTACCTGGCTAATAATCAATCGACGCAGAGAGCAATTTCAGAATGGGAGAGGGGGGGAGGTTTATGTCAACTCGCGACGACACACGAGTGTCGTCATTCCCCCCCTTCCCGATAACATTTATTTGCGATTAGCTTTTATGGATTTCTTTCGCTACCTTAAGAAATACATCGTCCCAAGACGATTGTTCGGGGGAGAGCCGGCGTCGTCGATCGCGGAACGATATTGCCACCTACTTCGGATTCGCGATACTGAAACGCAACGGTAAAGCAACGGTCGTAATGATCGTTCGCGATGCACCATAAAACGGTACTGCGTGTAACATAAAATACAGCGTGTATGTCCAGAGAAACCGGCGAATACAGCCACGAGGAGAAGAATGACGCGACGACCCGCGACGCGTGTCGGCGGGTAACGTTAGGGGGTCTTAACGCTGAAATTTATTGCGGCCGGATACACAAGAGTGCTTAACGCAAAGTCAAGCTCCCGCTAAGAAGAAAATTGTCAACTCTCTCTTCCCCCCTTTCCTGAGCCTTCTCGCTCTTTTTCCCACGGGGAAACGTTTCCTACGTTTCGCTGCGGAAAACATCGGCTAATTTCACGCGCGCCCGGGCGTTTGTCCGCGGAGTTACAGCGACGTGAAATTTTCGCGGTCTCTTCACGATTGTGCCGGCCGCACGTACAGCCTTTACGTGGTAAAGGAACGTCATGACGAGGGAGAGAGAGAGAGAGAGAGAGAGAAGAAGCTTGGGCGGTATTCGCGATATTTTCGCGCGCGAATTCTTTTGTTTCGCGCGAGACGAGAAAAATAGTACCGTCCGTTCTTTCGGAACAATTAAGCAACCACGTTAATTGTTGTGGAGCAGCTTTGCCTCGCTCGCAGCGGGACGTTACTAGCTACAAAATTTTTTATTGTCGGTATCCAATATTGACGGCCGATATTGACTCGACGTCGAACCACACGTCGGATGATGACTTTTCCTGTCCCGAACAAAACGCGCCCGATTCTTGATCGGGCGTTCACAACCACCAGCCAAAATTGAATTTCTCGCGTCGCGCTTCACGCTTGACTGTATATCACTGATCCGGGCCTCGGAAATCACAGTGCGATTTCGAGAAAGGAGCCGGATCAGGGCGGAAAGAAGAAGCGACAGTGCGAAATTTTTCCCGAAATATCCCGAGGAACTTCGTGCTTTACGCGATGAACACCTGCGACGCGCTCTTTGTCTCCTTGTCTCCGAACGTAATATTCCCCGCGTCTCGGTGTGACGATACATCGTGCGTAACACGCGAAATCGTGCACGTGAATACACCCGTCGCGACAGGAGCACGTGCGAATGGCGTTTGTTTCACGTTCGTACGTTCGATTTTTCGCCTGCGAGATGCAGACGTTCGAAGGCACTCGAAGTTGCCCGCGACGCTGTACATTGTAGCACGCTCGGTCGCAGAAAGGCTGCGACACTTTTGTTCTTCGACAAATTCTGATAACGCATTCTGTGTCTAAAGAGAATTTATTTTTCCGTAATTCTCAGGATATACATTTTCCCACCAGACACGAGATGCTCATTGCATCGGAACTCGTTGAACTTATGGAAAAAAGTGTCACAAAAAACCTTTCTCTGACTGACCGTACGTTCGCGCCGCGGACTTCACACCTCCGCGGCGCCGCACGCTTCACTGCGGAGGTGCGGCGTGTACAAGTTATACCCGGTCGTCAGTAAACTATCAAATAACTACCGCTCATCGCGCCATGCTATATTGTAATGTTACAACCGCAGAGTGTAATATAGTGAACACAACAGACGATACATAGATTTTTGTGCGGCGAGCATAATCGAATTACACAACGGGGCGCCGGGACACGAGTAATTAAGCTGCATTACGCGTTAATATTTCGGCGCGTATCGATCGCCGATGAAGTTACACTTTGCAAAAAAATATTACGCGGCGGCGCGTCGATACTGACGATCAGGATGCGCGCCGGGTTGCGCCGGTGTGCGCTGGGCGCACTCATAATATTCGGCCGATGGTGAATTCGCGCAGCTTAGCGCTAATTATCGCGACGGTATTACCGCGATAATAATAGAAACGTCGTGGCGCACACTCGCACACGGGGTTGCAGACGGGTTGCGGATTAACTGCCAATTTTAATCGTCGCCCACGTTTCCTACAATTATAACGGCAACAATGGCAACAATATTAAGCTTTATCTTGTTAATCAAGGTTTCATGCGCGAAATAATGCCACTGGCTCGCGATCAATAGACCTTATTTTACGATATTGTCATTAGTTCGAGCGGACAATTATTAATAATTACGATATTTACCGCAATGGGTAATTAATTACGCACATTACCTTATTAATAGCGTTTTCAATCGCGGGACAACGTTCGCACGACGCTACTACCGATCCCGCAAACAATCCCGCTCGGCTTAGTCAATTTTATTTAATCGTAAAAATAATTGAGTTTAGACGGGGAGGGGGTGTAATGAACGGACACAATTAACGGTAATTGAATTTCTCGTGTGAAGTACACGTTCGGAAAAAATGCGACGCCGATAAAATATGATAAAACTCTCCGGCTCTCCGTTCAGAATCGTTCCACGTTGCCGCGACTACTACTTTTATATGCTGAAATATCGAACGATTGCTTAGGCGATGTAACGTTCTCTCTCTCTCTCTCTCTCTCTTGTTCTTTTGCGAAGTGGTCGAGATCGATGCGCGTGTGCAAAATCGACTGGTTGCGCAAGAATTCCCTTTAACGCGGCGTCTCATAATTTCCACCTGATCCCGTTCGTGCGAGACCCACGAAATATCCCCCTTCAAAGACTTCGCTCGCTCGGATTAGTATCTCGGCGATACCATCGACGCAAATCGAAGTCGGTGTGCAGCTTTCCGGGTGCAACCTTCCCGCTTAGCACGTGTTTCTGCGAACTATTTACGACAGATCGACACGGTTCTTATCTTTATCATCCGCTCTCACCGCTCGACCGTCGCTTAAAAAGCTCTCTCTCTCTCTCTCTCTCGCGTTCGGTGTCCCGCAACACGTGTACACGAGGCTGTGGAAATGTACATGTACACCTCCTAATTGCTTACGAGCATCTTCGAATGCCCCCACCCCCAGCTTCCGCGGAGAGCAGTGAGCTCTCAGCCAAGCGTTTCCGGCTAATGAGACGTCGCTTTTAGAAAAACGCGCGTAGAATCTCCTCGCGGAAACGGTCTCTCGTCGCACTTCTAAAGTTGAAGCCGGCGAAGTTGTAACAGCGCGCAACAAAAATAGTCTCCTTCGGTGCTCCGCAATTTGCGCTGGTGCCGTGCGACCGTGTGAATTGTCTCGCACGTAAATTTCGTCGGGGTCGCCGACCAGTGTTATAAAAGGAATTCCGAATATCCATCGGTAATACCTGTAATAGAGAGAAAATAGAAATGTGAGAATTATATAAAATCGTACAGCATAAATAAAAATATATAAATAATATGTAAATAAATATATAAGTATATATAAAGTATATAAATTGTGTATCGCACGGAAAAAAGGAAATTAGCTGCCCACATAATACAACTGTGATTTTACCAGACCTAGTTTTTAGCTTTGGGAGTTAAAAGTTAATTCCTTCGACATGATTTTTACAAGATTTTACGAAGTTGACTCATGGAGCTGAATTTTTTGAAGGAACATCCAACAAAACACGGGTCATTACGCGGGTCGCCCCACAGTGTGATAACTAATATTCATGGTGTTTTTGTATCAACATATGATTATACAACGTGTTTTATGATAAATTATGTTTTAAACGACGAAAATGCGAAACGACCTAAGCGGAAAGTTTGGCGCTCGGAAAGGCTCACATAGGCAGCGAGCGTGTTAATTAATCAATTAATTTGACGCACCTGGATCCGCATACAACGCGTGTACGCTGCGCACATAATACTCGATTAGTCGCGCGTTAGCAAGCGAAATGAAATTTTACGTCCCTTCAGAATTCTCAACCCGCGATTATCTACCTGCTCTCAGCGCACTTCATTTTCGTGCTGCTACGCGTTAATTCTTCCCCATTTCTTCTCGCGCGTTGCAGATAAGCTGAAGGCGGAGATCGCGATAAATGTGCACCTGGACACGCTGAAAAGGGTCGAGATCTTCCAGAACACGGAGGCCGGCTTCCTGTGCGAGCTGGTGCTGCGACTACGACCCGTTCTTTTCTCACCTGGCGACTACATCTGTCGCAAAGGTAAGGATCGTTTTCCCTCTCACGGAAGGAGGCCTCATCGCCACGCATTAAAAAGTATTTCGCTCGAAGAACTTTCGCCGGAGGAATCTTCGATTTCTCTCGCCGAGAAAGAATGAGAACGAGAGAGAGCTGGGGGAAGAAAAATTAACGCTATGAACGTTGCGTGGAATTTGGTTGAAAAATGTGGCGCTGTACGCGCCATCATTGTCGGCGATATCGATTTTTCGCCCGTCTCCCATTGTCACTTACGGGCCACACACTCTCTCTCTCTCTCTCTCTCGTCCGTGAACCTCGCCTAGACACTTGCCTTCTTCTCCTGCGCGCATGATTTTTCCCCCGGATTCAGCGTGTCCCGCTTACGGGAACGTGGGGCGTTGGAAGCCGGCCAAACGATGTACCGCGGGTGTGAAAAATGATTGTCCGTCCGCTCTCCTTCTCCGTGCCAGCCTCGTCACCAGTAGCGTAAGCGGAAACCATCGGGCGGCGGGCGAATATTTCTGCTTTATGGCGAAAAAGGGGGGACGGGGAACCGTCGCGCTCGTTATCAGCGCGAAGGAAGGAAGCGCCTGTATAACTACTTCGGTGTAGTCTATATACGGTCGCGCGGAGGAGCGGCTCGTAAATTGTCACGGGCGATGCTGCGGCCTACAACGGCCGCGAAATTCCGCTCCCTCTTACAGACACAGAGCGAGATTGAATCTACCGTTACGCGGATCGTGAACGGCGCTCTCGCCTCTTCCCTATTTGCGCAACCAAAATGAGCGCCGCGTAAATTTCTCCTTCCATCTTCCGCCTACCGGGACTTTCGCTAACGATCCTGCCGCGCACGACCCTCTCGACATTGAAAAATCCGCACGGAACGGACTTCCGACGCCGGGAAATACGGAGTCCTTTATCGCTGAATCCTCCCTTTGCCGCGGTGTTCCCAGCGTTTGAACGTAGAAACACGCTCCTTATATGAACGCGCGACGGATCGCCTGGCAAAAATAAAAGCACGAGCTTACGCCATTGTCCTAGCACTTCCCGGGCCGCGTACTCGCGCTCGATATCCATCCCCGGACAAATAGTAAGCAACCGAGGGAATAATTTCGGCTCGCCGGGAAGCCGAGGGGGGCCAGCACGAGGCGACGTTTCGCTCGCCGCCCGTCCATTCTCCACCTCTCTCGCGACGGTGGTTTCTTTTCATTAACGAACGGAACGAGCGCAAGAATGAGTACAGGAGTGCGAGGACGTGGTGGTCGTTTCGATCCACGGGGTTACCTGCCCTTTTGATGGACGAGCCATCCGCATTTCCGCCGCGTCGCATCGCGCCGCGCCGCTACGGCCGGAATTATGACTTGGCGTTACTACTTGCGCGACGGAACAAACGACAGCGCTGCTGGGCGCGCCCGATACTCGACGCGCGTTCTCGTGCTTTTTATCAAAGCCATTTTAGACGGTCTATAATTCGCGGCGGAATTCGAGGCAGAATTCTATCTGCAAGGAAGTGTACGTTCGAAGAGTTACGTTTATGGACGCGTACGTGTACATAGGATGTACCTGTGAGGTTTACCGACAAACTTACAGGACAAATTTCGTGTTGAAGAATAAGTAAAAAAGTTTTAGCAAGCATGCCGGGTAGATAGAAATGCTGAACACAGCACGCAAACATTTAATATATGCCGTTGCAGCAGCATAACGTATTTAAAATATATTAAAAATATATGCTTGTTCAAAACATACTCATTTATCATGCTATAATTTTAATCGGAATATTGACTTTTTATTACTGCAATAATTCCGTATTAATTGCGTTCTCTCTCGGACAAAGCAGCAATATTTATGGCATCAGAATATCGTCGTAATATTGCCGTAATTTTCATTGGATTATCTTCTTTTATATATTGACAAAACGTTTGTTGTCACGAGGATCTTAACGTACCTAAGTTAGTCACGATGCAATATAACGAAGTATATTTATCTGGAATACGTCTGCGAAAGCTTGGCGTTCGAGATGTAGCTTTCAGGAAATGACGATGAAAAAAATGTGTCGCAATAAGAGGGTTAAAAATGCTGATAAAATACTTTTTTGTCTATTTTTGAGGACCTATCAATTTTGATATTTCTGAATATTAATCGAAGAATTATTCATTGTAATACATCGTGAATAATGATGTAATATTCGAACGAGTACGCGTGTTTTTACTCCACAGATATCAATTGTACATTGATAAGGAAGGCAGACGTTTTGAACAATTTTTATAACAGTATGTGTCTGGTTATTTATTACGTAGAAAATGATTTAATGAATAAAATAAATTAATTTTTAACTGACATTGCGACAGCTATATCTCAGAAACGAGGCGTTTGAGGATATATATTTACTAAGACTTTCTTTTACTTATTTTTTTTTCCTGCAGAACCTGTCCTGTGAGTTTGTCGGTGGAGTTCAGATACGTACATCTTGTATACTTGTGTGTAAACTTTCACCATGTTTGCCGTGTCGTATATGCGGCGCATAAAAGCACGAGTGGAATCCCGTCTCCCGAATTTTTCCGCGAATTATGGACCGTCTAAAATTGGTTTTACGGTCGATTTATCCGAAGACGACTAACATCAACCGCGGTTTATCTCTCTCTCTCTTTCTCTCTCTCTCTCTCTCTCTCTCTATTTATCTATCTATCTATCTTTCCCCTGTTTTTAACCGGGAAGAGACGAAAAAGGACGAGCGGATTATAGTTAAAGTTAATCAGCTTTCACCCCTATTCCATTTTTCCTCCTTTCTTTCGCCCGTACCCGGAGATACGTCATGGTTAATAACGCCGATAGTCACGTCGGCGGGACGATACGAACATCGTTAGTACGTAGCACAAAGAGAGAAAGAGAGAAAGAGAGAGAGAGAGAGAGAGACCGGCTCGTATACCACATAGCGCAGCGACTTGCATTCCGACCGTGCAGCGCCGACGGCTGATTATTTTTATAGACTCGTAAACGGATACTGCGAAAAAAAGCTACATTTTCACATTAAACGCGCCAGCGAGACCCCGGTGGCGGCGCAACCGCCCGCAGACGAGAGAGGGAGAGAGAGAAATACAGCCTCGGGGTGTTACGGTTTTATCACCGGGAAATTATTATGCGAGGCACCGAGAGATACACGGAGAGACGTCTCGGCGGAGAGGCGGGCAGCGCAGCGGTTAAGGGTGAAACGGAGATAGCAGCTTCTCTCCCTCAATCTGAGACGCGATTTTCGTGTGATTGCAGGTGAGGTGGGAAAGGAGATGTACATAGTGAATAGGGGCCGACTGCAGGTGGTAGCCGACAACGGGAAGACGGTGCTCGCCACCCTAAAGGCGGGTTCCTACTTCGGGGAGATCAGCATTCTCAATATGGGGACCGCAGGTAAAGAGTGCGGTAAATATTCCAAACGGACCAGGGGCCCGTGAGCTGTCCCCCTTCGTTTTTCACGATCACGTTTTCACGTTTCACGTTCTTACCACTCTGTGAGAGGGCAAGCCGTCGAGCCGGTATGAGCCGATCTGAAAACGATCTCTCTCTAGCAATTTTCACCACTATTCTCTCTCTTTATCTCGCAGACGTCCCACTTGTCGATCTTCACCTGTTTTAAATCGCGCCCGACGTTCACGCAACGACACACGCGCGCGCTTCGCCGTAGACGAAGGACGACGACGGGCCGCGGCAGCGGAGAAAGAAAGACGCGTTCGTCGGTCCCGGTGAGATCAGCTCTCGTTTCGTTAATTAATCGATCCATCGTCCCGATCGGTCTACGCTTCGTTCACCACCCGTCCGACGAGAGCGCGAACTATGTGTGTGTGTGTGTATGTGTGTAAGATCCACCGATGCAAAGTATTGCAATTTCTCCGCATCCGACAATCCTATTGGCTCCGTCTGTCGGCAGAACGGGGGGCCGTCCGCGCGCGTGTCGTCGCGGGATCGATAGCGGTCTCGTTTTTGTGTTCGAGCTTCGGCTCTCGCGAGTGACACTTTCCTCTCTCTCATCGGCGGGAAGGCGAAGAAAAAAATACGCGGTCAAAGGGGCCGACGCGTATAAAGAGACGGCGCGAACTTTGCTCCCCCCTCCCGTCTTTCTGCCCTCCCACGTCGAACTCTTTTTTCGAAGGAACGTCCGCGGGAACTTTGGCCGGCGTCCCTTTGGCCGTTTTTGGCCGAATGATTTTAATCCCGTTTAAATTGAATCTTCCTCGCGAATATTTTCACAGCTATCACAATCTTTTCGCGCTCTTATTAAATTAGAAGAAAATTCAATCCCCCGTGATATTACTTCTTTTCCCTCCTCCCTCTCTCGACCGGTTAATAAAGAATCCTCCTTTACTTATCGCCCGATGAGAGAGATACGACGGCCGTGCGAGTTTATTTTCTCTCGGTATAAACTCGGTGAACTCTGTTACCTCCTCCGCAATATATCGTGTCCGTGGGAACCGAGCAAAATTAACCAATGCGAAAGGCGCGAGAAGTTCTTTTCTGAAGTACCGCGCCGCTTGTAGATGGCTGGATATCCCGTCCAGCCGGTCTCCTCGAATACATCGCGAATCAATCGCCTTCCGATTCCGCGTCATGCCGAATATTTTACAATGCTTCTGTTTCTCTCCGGTGAACAACGAAGGGATTAATTAATTGAATGATTCCGCGGGCACACGCGACAGAGTCGTTGCGAGATCGTCGACGCACCTCGAACAAAGCCCGTGACACGTATTGCCCTTTAGTCTCCACTATTCCAATTCTTTCGTCTTCTCTTTTCATTTTTTCCTTTCTCACGGCTACTGTATTACCCGTTTTTGTGTTTTATGATCGACCGGGACGACCGACCGAACGATGACGCACGCCGTAAAAATATTAAATCGCGTGTTTCCTCTCCCTTTTTCTCTCTCTCTCTCTCTCTCATTTCCTCTTTCTTTTTCCTTTCTTTTTTGATTTATGTGGCGATAGAGCCATCTCTCGCCAACTTTCGGCCCATGACCCATCACGTTCCTTCCGTGAGCAAAGTAATAAGAAGAGATCGTCGACGTTGCGACACTTCGACGATGTATCGAAGTATTACTATTTCGACTTGCCTGTTTTTTTCTTTATTGCAAGACACGCATGCGGAGCTTTCTCGATCGCAAGGAGAACGATGCAGCGAACGATGCGCAAGTCAGCTTCTCGCGAGGCGTGCCCGGTCGATGGGATCTTGATGAAAAAGAAATATCATTTAGCCACTCGTACTGAATTTCTATCTCGCTTTCGTAGTTTTTATTAGAAGGGATGGCTTAGAATTTGTGGACCGACTCTGAGATCTTAGCCGCGCCCGTTTCTCGCATCCGTTATTATTTCCCCATCTTGATTCACTCACTTGATTGATGCTGTCACGTCACGCTGAGAGACTGTTTACATTCTCTTTACACCTCTTCTTTATTTCTTTATTATACACCATCCTCTTGCATACTTATATTAATTGTTACGTATTTATTATTATTATTATTATTATCGTCGGAAGGTGGCATTTGTAAAAGTGAACTCGCGTCCGCCCGGCGATCGATATAGCGACCGCCGGCGTCGCCGTTCAGGCATCGATCGCGCGCTCACCCGCGCCGGTTATTTATAGCGCTACACGGATAATTCGATTGTCGATCGGAATGATCGTCGCGCCCGATCGCGCTTACAAATGCCGCTACCACGTGCGATCGCATTTCCATTTTCATGCGATATTATCATCTTATACTATTCATTGCACTATTCACGTACCTTTCTCACACGATCTGCCACTATCATTCCCTGATACGCATACTCGCTCTTATTGATGATTGTAATTTACTGCTGTGATGCGTGCTAATTTCGTACGGATGTATTGACCTGCATTCGAATCTGCCAATTATATTACCACTTGTAATATATTTATATATACATACTGTATATACTGTATATATATATATATATATATATATATATATATACACATATATACACGTATAAATTGATTATATGGTAGTTTATAGCATCCTTTGTCTTAGCTAATTCTTAAAACAGACATAAATCTGGTCACGTTGATTTACCTGCGAAGGAAGACAGTCGATTTTGCCGTTTCACTTTTTATCCAGAAACGCGCAAAAAGTTAGACATCGACAGTAAGAGAGAGAGAGAGGGGCGGGGGAGGGAAGCAAAATGGACCGTCTCCCTTCGGAAGTACGTATCCATTATCGACACGTATTGTCCGTTGCAACTTATTAACACTATACGACACTGTATAATAACGTAATTCGAACCTCGACCTCGCGAACAATGGAACAAGAATCTCCGTTGCCGAAGAAATCGCACAGCGATCGTCTCGACGTGCATTATTACGAGAACGCACGATGCACCGTGGTGAAGAGGTGTGTGAAACTCCCACGTCGTCCGCTCACGCGCGCGCGTTTTCGCGAGAGTCTCTTTCCGTGTTGCGACCGGGATGGACGAGCGGCAACATATCAGTATTTCCCGGTGAAAAGTATGCGATAAAAACCGTTTAATTACACCGGATAAACAATTGCGAAGTTCAGTGTCCGTTTTAAAGAGTGCTTCGTTTAAAACTCGAACGCGTACAAGAAGCGCGTAATTCGGAGAAGACGCAGCGGCACAGCGTTTCGTTTTATCGGAACGCTCCTCGAGATCGAGAGATCGAGCCGGTGAAAAATTATCATAAGCATTTCCCCACAACGTGTGCCGGCGCGCAGGGAAATGTTGCTGGCGGTTATTTGACTTCCTCGACGATATATGACGTAGGTTGTGCGAACTATTTATAATTTTCTCTCCGCGGGATGAGAAAGAGAGAACGAGAGGGGGGTTGCAGAACGCGCTACACTACAATTACAACGGTAAGAATAACACGAACGTGGCGGCATAATTTTCAATGCGGGGCAAAGAGTTTCCGTGTCGCCTTAACTTAATTATTACAATTTGTATTACGAATCACGCGCATCCGCGCGCATACTGATGAGGCAAAACTTTCCAACGACGGCATTTATCTTACGGTTAAATCTCTGGAAATATATAAAGTTCCTCTTAGCGAGTTGTATCGCTAACTCATTTCAGTCCCGGCACACGTTCTGTCTGAAACGATTACGCTATTCGTCACCTCGTTAATTACGCGGATCCTTTTTGCACCGGCGTGTGTGTAAAATATCGCGGGCACCAATTAAAGTCGTAAACAACGGTTTATATTCGCGTCGTCGGGCAAAAATTATACTTTATTAGCGCCGGTTTGAATAACGAACACGTTGTACATCTCGTCCTGAAACGCCGAAACGCCAACGGGCGGAAGAAAAATTAACATTCTCACGCGCGAATAAACACAATAAGAGTCGTGGCGGCGGCTATTAATTGGCGTTCTCACCCATTATCATCCGTCAATTCATTAGCAAACGCAGCGAACGCCGGATAGAAGAAAAAAATGGGCCCGTGTACGACTTGGCGGACAATTAACATCGAATCAGCGGGCCGTGAACGGAAGCGATTAATCAAAATTACACTCCGCTCTTAATTAATCAAAATTAGTCTCGCCCCCCTCCCCTCCCCTGCGACGATATTACTCGCTCTCATGCGTGTAAAGGTGACGTGAAGGCTCTCTCGTTCAAACTCTGACGTGAGAGATCACGCGCGTGAACGCGACGTTGAGAGTTGCGTGCGCGCGTGCGTACGTGCGTGCGACCGGAACCACGTGCATCGGGATCGAGACGAGAGCGTGAGACTGCTGTAGGTAGTACGATCGACGGATCGATCACGTGCGGTTACATAAGAAAGCTTGATGCATCCCGATAACCAATAAATGGCTACATCGACGCAGGTAACCGGCGAACAGCCAGCGTGCGCTCGGTCGGCTACTCGGACCTCTTCGTACTCAGCAAGAAGGACATGTGGGACGTGCTCAAGGAGTACCCGGCTGCCCGAGTACGCCTGGAAGCTATCGCGGTCAAGAGGCTGGAGAAGTACAAGAGGACTCCTCTGGAGAAAGGTGAGTCCAGCCTGTTCTGCCGACGTTTCAACACATGCGAACAATATTTATGTCGTATTTCGCTTTTTGACGGCGCGATCGCATCGAGGGCGAATCTCCGATCGCCGGCGTTCTCGATTTTTCGGCATCCCTCGCTCGAGGAACACCGCCGAGAATATGAAGGCGCTGGAGTTTCAAGGGGCCTTAAATAATTGTTTTATTCACGAAGTAGTTTTGCGACTGCGATTTTAGAAATACTCGTTTTTGGTCATTTACGTTGCAAGCGATTAATTTTAGTTCTGGTAAAAATTATGTGTCCGTAAAAGGCTTCGCGACTCCAAGTAAATTCCCCGGGTTTTTATAGGAACAGTTAATTATTGTTAACAGATAAATTACAAAAATAGTCAATATAGAGCCATAAAGAGTCAGAGCGCAGTTATCTTAGTGTCATTAATAGTTAACTTTTTTAATTTTTAATTTTCGCAATCCCGAATTGGTTGGGTTACAACGTTATTTCAGCCGGTATTTTAATTAATAACATCATAATGGGAACGGATAGAAAGAGTCGAGGATAAGCTGTTGCTCTTGAAATATCGAAATATCCGGGAGAGCTGCAGCGTTGCTTTACGATTCCCCGGCCCACTTGCTTCTCTCCCGCTTTCCTCGGACGTATTCGACGCGAATAACTCGAGGCTTATCCGTGCGGATTACGACATATCAGTCAGAAATATATCAGGGTGGAAGTACGGAATTCCTTTTCAATCCACTTATCCGCGCGCGTTCGCAGAAGACAGGCTCGAATTCGACTGTAAACGGGTCGCCGCGGTCGCTTTGGCGCGCAGCCGATGCGCCGCCGCGGTTGCCTGAAACTTTCCTCGTTACCCGTTTGTTAAAATAGCTAGACGCGGAAGTTTACGCGCCCTCGGCAAGGTAAGTTCTTCGGGTCGCGGGCGGATGCCATCCGAGGGAACTTCGAACCAAGGACGCGCGGCTCCATCGAGATATGTTCGTGGCAGCCGCGACGCATTAACGAATTAACCGACGCGGAAACGCTCGACTGGAGTTACGAACATAATGATAGTTATTAAAGACGTCTCTCCGAGGCGGATACACACCGTGCGTTTGTCTGATGTTCCTTGAAAGACGAACCGCAAATTTGACACCTGCAGACGGCTGTGTAAAGTGTGCTCATCTTCGGAACTCGTCGCCTCGTCTCGCGTTCAACGACAACAATGAGATCGAATCGAAACTCGGCTGCACCGAGAAACCCACTTAGTTGACTCAAAGAAAATGCGTCTTTGGATATCGACAAACAAATGCTGTGGTTGTGAGAACTAAAATTTGATTCTCCGCATCAAACCTTTTCCATTTTCGTTTCAGAGAACTCTACTGTCTAACTCGGCTGTTTTGTCTTTAATGCAAGAAACTCGCCTTTCAAGTGGTACTTCTGTCTTTCAGTAAGAAAATGAAACTTTAATTTGACTTCAGTAAGCTTTCGACGCTTTTTATCCTTCCATTCATTTTTACCGGTTATTTCCTCGATATAATCACCTCTGCCAACGTTTCGTTAACGTATTCTTGGTACTCTATTAGTCGATTATTAATTTTTCCATTTCCCGCGATCCCCTTAATTTCGTTATGTGTCTAAAAATAACATCGTACATATACATCTAACGTACAGGGATTAATGAAATGATAGCTCTCGCTTCTCCCTCTATTTTTCTCTCTTTTATATATCTGCGGTCGTGCGAGGACTGCGGTAAAATATGCGCATGCGCCCAAAAAAGAACGTATATACGGCGAGTTGACTGCCTCGAGGGCTGTACGCTATCAAAATTTTTCTCTCTCTCTCTCTCTCACTCACTCATCGTTCGCCTTTTATTTCCGCAAAACCGTCGCTCAAAACATTCTTTCCGACCTCAATTTTTGCCGGAAAGAAAAAAATGCTCGCACGCGCACTGGCCCTCGCTCGCCCTCTTCTTTCGCGTAATCCTCTCTCGTGTATTCCACGGACGTAACGAACGAGCAACTAATGCGAGCGGGTTGTCTCGCATGAAAAGTCGTATATTGAAAATTCTCGTGAGACATCTCTGTAGTGAAAACAACACTGTAGTTGAAAAAGTCATATTAACGGAAGAAAATGTAAATATCGCGTTGCGCGCGATTTGTCGACAAGCGCTAATGCAAACAATCTGAGTAAAAATTAATCGGGAAGTGTGTCGAGCCTGTAATGACCCTAAATAGGTATGCCTCAAAATAGACCTGCCTTCGTTGGGTTTAAATATGGAAAACCAAGAAAAGATCAATTCCGAATGGATTTTCACAATGCTGCTCCTTTGCACACAAACAGGCTACACTGAGAAAAATATTTCTCCAAATTTAATAAATTTTATTGCGTCCAAACAAATTTCATCATCGGCATGCCAAAGAAACTAATATTTCGATCGAATAAGTACGATTGCTAGACTTTTCAACGAATATGTATTTTTATCTTAAATAAAAAATTTGCTTGAAACGGAAGATAATTTTCTTACACAGAAATTATTCGTTTCATTTTATGTATTTATTGTAACCAAGTAATATTTTACTTAAAAGATATTATTTCAAATCACAGCGTTCTTTCTGTTAAATAATAGAGTATTCTTGAATGAGACAACGAAATTTTTACTTAAAAATATAATATTTCGTATATGTTGTTTCTAAACAAATTTTAGTCAAATAAATAGAAATATTAAATCTAAAGGAACCCTTTTCTCTCTGTGTGCAAGCCTGTTTTGATCCGCATTTAAATTTTCTTATAAATTACTAGCATAACGAGATATGGTCTAATCAGATGTGTTAAAATAGGGTTTAGTTAGGCATGCCAAGATAGAGTCTACAAAGTCAGATCAGTTAGATTTACAAATTTGACTCTGATTTGTTACACGAGCGTTACATTTCTGTACAGGACTTAAGTGCGTACAGGACCTATTTGCTTTCACATGGCCTAGATATAAGCGAGGAAAAATTGTGTAGGGCCTTCACTTTATACTCTATCGTCTGCGCCTGTTAGAATTTCTCTTATTAGACTCGAGATTTATCCGTAACGTTGACTCGCGCCACACCGCGAAGGGCCACTATTAAAACGAAAATCAAATCGCACTTCGTTACCTCGCGACGCCTGCTCATAGATCCCGAGTGTAAAATCGTGCCGTAGGGAATTCGATAACTTTAACGGAGCCGAATCGCGAACTACCGACATTTGTGGATTTTTCACGACCGAACGCGCCCTCCTAACCGCGCGAGCGCGCGTAAACTCGACTCTGCGTGATCGTACGACAGGGAGCGATTTCAGGTTCTTTTTTTCTTTCCTTTCACGGACGGGAATTCAAAGCTGCGAGGGATAAGCGACTGTATTGTGTTTGCCGCGATTCCATGACGATACCGTGTTCTTCGAAAGTTTCGTGCGTAACACGGGCGAACTTTGCCACCTCGCGCCGCAAGGAGAGAGCACAGGGGTGGTGGGCTGCTTTGCCCGCGCGCCGGGTAGTTCCGGATTAATTAATTAAACTCCTCGACTATCTCCCTCTTTCCCCTCTCTTCCCTTTCTCCTCTCTCGCTAGCTCGCTCGTTTCTCACTCCGCCATGTCTAGTGAACGTTGTTACCAGCACGCGAAAATCTTTCAAAGGAGGCGCGGCAACGAAACCGCGTCTTCGCCTCGACGAGATCTTTCAGGTGGACGCCCTATACGAGATCGTCGATATTCCGTACGTTAATACCTTCGAAGATTTCCGGCCGTTGAACTTCGGTCACTCGCCGGAGAGACGTATCTCAAAGGGCCGGGCGCATAGATCGCACCGTGCACCTAAAACGCAAAATGCGACCCTTGGTAAGAGCGGGATCGCTCTTCGTCGAACCCCGGGCGCCATAAAACGGCAGGGGGAGGGGGGATTTTAGTACGATAATAAAAAGACGTCGAGAGAGGAATATCGCGCTTTATTATCACTCGTAATAAGTTCCCTCCGACCCCTGATATATATGCGATATGTTTCTATCGGATTAAAATTTAAACGTAACTCTCGCGCGTTCCTATATGTTTCCACCCTGCATTTCGAACACCTCGTCGTGAAATCCTCGTTTCCCTCGAGCGCCCGAAAACCGTAAGCTGGCGTTTTTGTCGCGATATCATCTCCTTCACTCACGTCCCTAGTTTCGCCTACCCTTTTGAATTCCTCGGAATGAAATTTCATTTTGAAAAGTAGAGTGACCACCGAGTCATTCGAATTCGAAGTGACTTTTCACTCATGTAGAGTATTGAATTCCCACTCTGAATCGTCGAGTGAAAATTTTCATTCGGAACTGGAGAGTGAAGCCAGTGTACTCCACCGCCATACGAGAACATATTCGCTCGTATAGTCAGAATCCTCTCGAAGCTTGAGTGAAACATTCATCCTCGCTGTTTCGAATGGCAGTATTTTCACTATCGCTTCGAGCGAAAATACTGCCACTTCTCACTTCTTTCGAGTGAGATTCCACTTCGTGAAAGAACTTCGCCCATTTTGGGCCAACCGCGTGTAATCATCAATAATATATCATTTTATAGAAATAATAGAAATATTAAAAATTAAGTAATTTTAGATCCTCAAACCTTTACCGAAAGCAGTTCTTTCAGTCTTTTAAAAACGTTGCCTTATTCGTTCGGTATTTCTCATCATCAGAGCTACCAAAGCTAAGAAATATGTCGCTAACATCTTCAGAAGATATTCGTATGTCTTTAGAAAGATATTTAGCATATTTTAAATACCAAATGAGCGTCATGATGGAGGCACAGCAACCTACAGTACGGGCAGTATATTTACACGTGCAATAATATTCACTGATGGCGTATTTTCCTTCATCATTACGCTCTCCTACAATGTAAACGTGGTATCATGTTTCATTTATATTTGTGAATTATATATTCGAACTTTATAATAAATATTAGAGAGAGAGAGAGAGAGAGAGAGAGAGAGAGAAATCCACAGTTTAAATGCCATACTTAGTAAAATAACCAGTTACTATATCATAGTTCAGTTCTATTTGATATCGTTCAAGTTATGCGTTCTCTATAGTAGCCTCCAAGCCTGCATAATTTGATGTTTACCAAGTGAATATATTTGAAAAAATTACGCCGAAAAATTAGCAACGTTTGCTTGTTATCGCCGTTATCACGATGAAGTATTTTGAGATGGGATGCGTTCTGAATTTTGCCAAGAAAAAGCGATCGTCCTGACTGTACGCGGTTGGGCCAAATCTGTATGTAAAATGGGCGAAGTTCTTTAAAGAATAAGTACGCGGTGCGTGCGCGAGGTGAACGCGAGACGGCGGAAATCGGACGGTCGCGTCGTTCGACGCCGGCCGGACGCGCGACGACCGCGGCGACGAATGCGGATAACGTCTTGAGACTCGCTCGTCCGCGCGCGAAATGTTTTCGCGACCTAATTCCTCGGTGCGGTTACGTAAAAGCGCGGAGAATAAAGCCGGGCGAGTGTTCGCGGCGGCGGCGGCGGTCTGTTCTTCAAGCAGCGGAATCCGACACCGCGCTGATGGAGATGAATGGCCGCGGGAGTTCCCGGCGATTCTCCGCTTCCTGGCGTCTCATTGAGGTCTGAAACAGGCGGTAACGATGGTTGGAATACCGGGGATATAGGACGACTTCGGTTCGACTTCGACCGGGTGGGTCAACGCGCGTGTATCCGAGAGGGTCGAGGACCCTCCTTTGCCAGTTTCACGACGAAAAATAGCTCGTGCGAATACATACGAGGTGTCCTGGTATCGTTAAATGTGCCCTTTCGCCCACGAATATGGCCGAAGGCAAACTAAGAAAAGTGGAGGAAAATATCTAACCGAGCATTCTCAACGAGAAGTTAGAGAGTGGCTATCTCCCGCTCACGTTGCGCGGTGGAAAAAGCGCGGGGGGTGTAAAGAAGAGAGGATCAAACGAAATAGAGAAAAAGAGAGAGAGAGAGAGAGAGAGAGAGAGAGACGGGGGAAAAAGTGATTGATACTTAAAGCGTTGAAATGATTTGCGACCGGAAAACTCGAGGATCGATAATTTTAAACGGTTATTTCTCTTCGTGAGCGCCCGAGAAAAGGATTTTTCTTCATTTCTCTCTCTCTCTCTCTCTCTCTCTTTCTCTCTCCCCCTTTCATTTTTTTTTCAAATTGATTCAACGGAGAGAGAGAGGCTTCCGATATATAATCTCAACGCGCTGGATCTTAGAAGCTATAAAGACGCCGGTGAATAGGATGCCGTATTATTCAATGGCGCGACCATTTCCTTGAGGGACGTCGCTCCATTCGAGAGGACGCGAAACGGCCGCTTGCGAAACGGTCCGTCCTCGCGTTTTTCCCGATAATCCGCTTAGACGCGAAAGCCGCGGAAACTTATTTCGTTTGTACACTCCTCGAGCCATTCATCTCCATCGGAACGATGGGCATTCACTCACTCACTTCGCCGGTCATCCGCCCGCACGCGCATCCGGCCCAGCCAGCATGCTTTCCCGTCGCCGGCAGGATATGACGTATGGGAAATTAGGTCGCGGTAATAAGTGTAATGCGTAACGTGAGTTACGCGACGCTGAGCTATGGAGGGAAAGAGGGGAAGGAGGAGGAGATCATGCGTATGCAATGCCAAGTATCGATCTCCGCCGGCCGGTATCGTCGCCGCATACTCGAATTAACTCGAAAATGAAGGAAAAAAGGGGCGGTCTATTAGCGCGTTGCAAGTTCGAAAGTACCCAGGCGGGACACCCTTCCGGCGTGATCGCGCGTCGGACGAACGGGAAGGAAAAAGTATCGGATCTCTCTCCGAGTGGTGGAGACCGTCCGCAAAAAATCCCGACACGTTCGCGTGAGCGTAACTTATACTCGGGTTTCTAATTTAAGTAACTATAACGAAGAGTTGCATGCGGCGCGCCATGAAAATAACACACTCGTCTCTCTTTCTTTTGGCCGCCCGTCGTTGCGTCCCTCCGCCGTCTATATTAGCGTTTTGATCCGCGCGCTACCTTGCGTAATGTCGTGATATTTAAAGGTCACTTTAATTACAAGGATGAATTTAACTGACCTGAGCCTACACGTCCCACATAATGAGCTCTCTCTCTCTCTATCTATCTATCTATCTATCTATCTATCTATCTCTATCTCATTATACGCTACCCGCTGGCTAATGTTACACAGTTATCGCATTATTAGACCTTAATTGACTAGTAATAAACATATTATGTACGTATTATTGATTCATGCTTAAATCACTGTCAATTCACCGCGCGTGTGTGTGTGTGTGTACACGCACATTACAGGCTCCGTCGTTAATTTATCGTTTGCGCATGATCTATCACTTTGCATCACGCCCCCTCCGATCCTGCCGCTGCTGAGTTCGCTCGAGTGAGCGGGTCAAAATATAACGATCCCGAAATTCCTTAATGGCTAAACGCATCTCGACGGCGAACAACAAACAATGTCGCGGGGTGAGGCGGATAGAGAGAGAGAGAGAGAGAAAGAGGGGTTGTGTAACGAGCCGAAGGATCAAACATTTCGCGCGGCGATCGAAGGATTCGCGTCAAAGCGAAACGGCATACTATTGATGCCGTCGAATACTGTTGGCCGTCGGTTAAATGTCAGCGCGGCCAAAAGCGGAAATTCGAGAGCACGTACGGGTCGTTTCAAGCACGGGGCGCACGTAAACACGACGCCGTTGCATGGCGATAACTCGCATCGCGAATGAACGATACCCTAAATAAATGGGCAGCCGTCCTCGTCGCTCGCGCGTCCCGAAAATTCGGTGGCGCGATCGTGGTTGAGCTTTTCGCGCGAGTTTCCGGTTTCGTTTTCGAGCGGGATGAAAAAGCGACGACGACGATACCGAGAGAGTTCGCTTATACTCCTCTTTCTCTCCCGTTCTTTCCCTCTTTTTCGCTCTGTGCGCCCCATCGTCGTCGTCCTCGAGCTTTTTCAAATAAACGACCACGCATAAAACGACGTTAATAATTTTTATCCTGGAAGTATCTGCGGAATGAACTCCGGAGCGAAGCTGTGTGCGTCACGATTTACGACGCCACAGAGATGATAGTCATTCTTTTAGCACTCCTCGAACGCTTTTTGATTATTTTCTCCGATCGATCTGCTGTATCGAATCATTCCTGATCACCCCGGTTGCCTCTAAATATCGGACTGTATTCTCTTAAATTGAACCGGTGAAAATGTGACTTATTGAATCGGTGAAACTATTCTACCGATAATCAATGTGTATTCGCTAATTTTTTAATGAAAACTCTTTCACTCAGATCTTCCGTCTAATACTTCACTGATTTTTCCCGTCCCGTAGAAGAAATGTACAGTGCAACATATGTACAGATGAACAGAAAAGTTGTCACGCATTTTTTTAACGAGTTTCGCAATGTATCTCGTATCTCCAGAAGGGAAATGTGTCTCCTGAAAAAAGCCAAGGGACAAATTCTTCTATACCTTAAAAGTCGAATTAAGATAACGAGAAAGAAGTAATAAATAATATCTTTCTTCACTGTTTTGACATTTCTCCGGCGGAAACAGTCGTTGCTATTGACAGATTTTTACAGCGAAACTTTACTGTTTCGCAGTGTTATGCTTATAACTATGACTACCTAGTGACCATTGACTGTTTCTCAGCGATAATATAGTGATAGCACTTTGGAGAGTAAAGTCAAGTCTCAAAGTACCTTCGATTTTCCAGTCATGAGCAGGTGTCAGAGCACACCCGGCCTGGTAGAGTCGCAGGGTCGCGTGCCGTTGGAGGAGATGTGGATAGCGCCGATCGACCTCAAGTCCGCTCAAGCGTATTCGACGGCCCACTCGTTGTTCTCGCCGAGCCCGAGTCCGGTGACATCACGCGGCGTAACGGGCGCCGGGGCCGTGACCGACGGGAACAACGTGCCCAGGGGTGCGGAGAGCCCGATAAGCGCGACCAGCAGCGGCCCCAGCAGCGAGGACCAGACAGCCAGGGCGCCGCAATCGGCCGCTACGCAACCCTCCACCGGAAGGCAGTCCACCCACTCTGGTGAGCCTCTTTCTCTCGTTTCTCTCCGCCCGTTTGCATCACTTCTCGCCTCTTCTTGTATCATTGCCAAAAACGATCGCGCGATTGCACGGCGCGAGTATCGACGCGCAACGTCGCGCGGAAATACGCTTTCGACCGAATTAATTTTCGTCCGATCGATTAATCTCCCGCCTCTCGCGGCTGCCAACGTGTTAATTGAAATTTACGTAGACTCTCAAGTCGGGGCTTCATGTACCCTATATTTGTCGTTAGCCGAGAAAAAACTTCTCATATATAACTATATATTATATCTGATTATATATGGAAAACTTTTTTTCCGGCTAGTATTCGCTAAGGTTGTATTGAAAAAAGGCAATAATGAAATACGAATCAGCACGCATACATACGTCTTCGTCGTGGTGCGTAATATTCTCTCTCTCTCTCTCTCTCTCACGAGAGAGACGTGAGATTTTACGGGAGACGGGGATACGCGAAAAAGAGGAGAGGTATTTTCACTCGACTTTTTATCGGGCGAAAATTTATTGGACGAAGGCACATTATTACCCGTCTCGATGCTGCTCGAAGTGGCTCTCGGAGCCATCGAAAGGTTAATGCTCGGTAAATTATTCGGGCTCGGATCATCACCGCCGTCCTTCGCAGGATTTTTACACGTCTATATAGCCCGCGGCGTCTTCAGACACTGTAACCTAAGGTCCTATCCTAGCTCGTACACTTAATATATCGTGGATCTATTCTCGGCCCGTGTAAGACGCGTCTCATGGTTGGATTTATTTTCAAAGTGTAACGTCGCGCTACATGCCGCGCGCGCGTTCCTTACGTGGTAATATATGTGATAGTATCACATAAGAGAGAGAGAGAGAGAGAGAGAGAGAGAGGAGGAGTATATAAATCATTGCTTGCTGATAGCGGCTGACGCTATTCGCGCAAACTGCTGACGCACAACCGTAGTTTCTTATAGACCCGTAAGACTGCGCGATTAAGTGAAGCGCGAATACGAAGAGAATAAGGGAGGAGACCTTTGTAGCCTCTCTCTCTCTCTCTCTCGCTTTCTGGTCATCAATATTTCACGTTCCATGAAAGCTTTTTAGATAGGCTGTGTAATGTTCGAGCCATAAACCATTACGTGTCGTCACGTTCAATTGAACGTTTCGCGTAATAACTACCGACGAGTATTTCCGGAACAAAAGCGGACTCCGCGGGTCGAAGTCGGCCGGGCTACTCGTAGAAACGCTGCGGGCCACTCGCGAGCATTCGCGCAACACCCCTCGCGCGCTCACTCGCTCTCATTATATTCCTCGCTATCGATTACATCGCACGCGCGTCACGCGGCTCGCTCGTTTATTCCGGACAGATTTAATCGCCGTGTTTGAATAACAAGCCTCCCGATAACGCGCGGCCGCCCGTTAATGAAGCGCGAGAAACCGGACGAGCCGTAATAGCTTCGCGTGTATATTTCCGGGAGAAATTTTATCGCACGCCCGCGAACGAGCGAAACCCTCGGCAACCTGCATCGCGCGATCCTGCGCTTTCGGCGCTCGGGATATTCACCTGCCGGGGAAAAGGGGTAAACAGACACACACATACACACACGGTGCCCCTTTCCCCACCTCCACCCGCAAATCAAATCTAACCGAACGCGAATAACTCGAGGGCGCGCGCGCGCGCGAACGCGGTCGTTTATCGGCGCTGTAAAACGGCAAAAAGGTAAATTCAGAAATATCGCGCGGATAATGAATGACGAGAGCGACGAGCTCTGCGCGACTCGTAAAATAGCGCACCGGCCATTAACCCCGATAGATACGTGTTAGGTAGTAACGATTTAACGGTGTTCCCCGCCGACGTTTATATGTCGCTTGGGAAATAAAATCCTGCCTTCGCGCGCGCACAGGAAACGCCACATTTAATCGTGCGCTTCCGCTTCGCGAGCGCGCTACCGCCGCTTCTTCCCCCGATTAAACCAGACAGATTTGGCCGACCGCTAATATCGGAAACGCGCGGTCCGCTCGAACGGTGATTTTTTAAGTGACAAAATATCAGGCGACGTCTGATATTCATGGCTGGTGCGACGGCGAAGTGCACCTCATTTAAACCGGCAAATAAACCGGCAAACGCCGCACCTGCGCGCACCGTCGTCGCCCCGCCAGGCCTTCCTTCGGCGTGCTCCGTTCTCTTCCCTCCCTTCCTCGGCCTCCCTTCCAAGTGCTAACGCGAAGTGCAACGCGATCAAGACGAGTCCCCGGACAATACCCGGTCCCCGAACGGCCGGGGATACACAGGACGCACCCGGTAGTAATTCGTAAATTAGTTAGCAGTTTGCTAATGCTAATTCATGCGTTGTATCAGCACCAGCCGAAGCTACCCCGTTGGAGCACTCGTGGCTCATCTTATATGCGAATTCTATTACGGGGCTGCGAATGCACCGCGCGCTTTAAGAGAGAGAGAGAAATACTAATCGTCCGCATTAATCAGCATCAGCGAATCACAAAGGCACGCGACGCGATATTCTCTCGTTCGCTCGAGAATATCTCTCTCTCTCTCTCTCTCTCTCTCTCTCTCTCTCTCTCTCATCTCGCATTTGTGGCTGTTACGCGCGCAGAACAACTCATTTATTGTTGCTTTCCGCGCATCCTCTCATCTAACTTTCAGCGATCGATAATTGCACACACACTTACATACAATGCACGTGCATACAGCGACGTAACTAAAGCGCAAAGATTCATATCCTCCCCTGCTCACCCCTCCCTCTCTCTCCTTTCCCTATGGTTTGTGGAGACGCGATCTCCTTGCGCGAGACGAAGGAGCGCGCGAGCATGAAATAGATGCGCGACGGTCTCGCGAATATATTCGCGTCACGCGCTTCCGTTCGTCTTATTAGTAATGGGACCGATCGAATGGCAATTCATTGATATTAGTATGTAACAGTTTCCAGATATTGTTGTCAAACTGGTACCGAAACAAGTTGTTATTAGTATTAGTAAAATAAATTTGCTGACATTTCACGTGCGTAATATCGATTCAATACAATTACTAAATAGTAGATAGAGACATCAACGGGACAAACAGTCTACTGTTCTATTCGCTTTGTTATACGTCTCAATATCAGTCATGCGTTGATCTTATAAATTTGATGAAAGTATTACGGTAAAAATTAATAACGGAAAAATGCTCGTGAGAAAAGATCGTGGCCATGATCGAAAAGATCGATCCATTACAATAAATGTGATTTCATCCTCATTAACCATAACTGTAATTGTTTTTGCACTAATTTTATTTCTGATAAGTATTGAATTATAAAATTAAACAGGTATTAAATACATAATTGATATAAACTAATTATATATAATCGATATTGTTACAATGTATCTCAAGTTGTTCGTGTGAATACATATATCTTAAAACGAGTCGATAAAAAAGTATCGATTTCAGGCACGAATGTAACACCAAAACCGGTATCTCCGTTCATCGCTATCTCTCATCCTCACTTCCCCTCCGCGTTTCTCATTAGATTTATGACATTGACCAAACCCAAAAAACGTGGAGAATTGAGAAAGATCAGTTTGAAAGAAACCTCGCAATGAAGACTTGCTTGCAGGCTTGACCTGCAACAGCATGACGCAGCTGGTGAGCGAGGGCACGACGCCTCTGTTCGGCACGCACGAGGCACTGCTGGCGGAGATCCAGCGTCTTCGCGAGCGTCTGAAGTGCCTGGAGACCGAGAACGCGGCGATGAGCGTCAAGCTAAGCCAGCAGCAGTGGGAGGTGGAGCACCGGCTGGCCGAAATCGAGATGCAGATCTGCGGGGCGAGCTCGACTTCGAGCGTCGAGGACAACAATGAGAGGAACCGGGAGAGCATTATTTAACGAGAAACAATGCCGCGAGAGCGCGGCAAGACCAAGATCGAGCGGATACGTCGCTACCTTGTCGAAGCCGCTGATACTAGGTAACTTGAGAACAGAAAGCTTGTTGTTTACTTCACTCGATATATATATATATATATATTTATATTTATATGTGTGTGTGTATGTGTGTGTGTGTTCGAGAGAATATGTGGAAAACGTTACTTTGTATACGGTAATGATCGAGGCAGTATTAACCCATTAGCTGCCACGATCCCCATTTGGGGATCAAAACAAAACATAATTTGAATATAATTATACTGTTACACAACTTTTTGTGCATATATATAATAACTTATCCGGCCAAAAATTTCAAAAAAAAATTTGGCAGTTAATGGGTTAATTCGCGGCCTGTCAGAGGTTTGTGCTTTACGACTGAACTGGGACTGCACTGGAATTGAACTAGTGCAAGCCAGAACTAGTGAGTGTAAGCGTACGGCGAAAAAAGAAAGAACGCTCTAGTGCAAGAATAACATGGCGCGCTGCGTTATATCGTAAAATTGAGCGGTTGTTATTTTCAACAATAACTGGCGGCTCTAACTTGTATATTGATGTTACAAATGCTATATAAAAATATAAATATTGTCTATTCTTTTCAGTGTCTAGAAAAGCTTTTAGTTTCATATTTATTATTTAACTTTTGTCTTAATAGCTATGTAGTAAATGTCCGAAAGTGTAAGCTTTTAAAATAGAAACGATAAAACGTAACTTTGGTCATTTAGAAGTATTGCTTCGCATATCCATATGTATCGTGGACAACGAGGTGAAAGTACAATAATTTAATTGATATAGTGACACAGGTTACTCGACATTTTTCGTACTCTTTTTCGAAAGTGCTGTTCCAACTGTCTTTGCATTGCTCGTACGCATTCCAGACTTAGGGCAGCTAGTTTAGTAAACTCGTGCACTGAGTTTCGCCGCACCGCTATAAAGAACAGCGACCGCCTGCACCAGTTCAGCTATAAAGAACACTTCCTAAACTAGTGCAGTCAGTTCAACTATAAAGAACAAACCTATTGAGTGAGACGGTGCATCCGAGTAGAAACATATCGAGTCGGCTTAAGTCAAAACTTAGTGGCTCGCTACACGGAAAAAAAATTAGTCTTTAAGATCTCAAGAATAAATATTTTCATGTTTAAGCAAGAATATTACAATCCTCTTAGACAAGTTTTAGTCTTGATTTGATTGAATTTATATTGATGCAAGTATTACTTGAACTCAATTCAAGACTAAACATCTTCTAAGAAAATTATAATATTCTTACTTATGAAAATATCTATTTTTAATTTAAAACTAATTTTTCTTACGTAATACAGACTAGATTAAATTTCGTTGCTAATAAGCTCTTTAGTCGCTCGGTACTGGTTATGTTCACTAAAATGCAGAATCAATTTTGTGATTTAGCTGTTGTCGAGCCATGAAATATGGCGGAGTAAATGGCGCTATTATAAAATATATAATCTTATGTATATCCGTATGACATTTAAAAGCGAAGTAGCAAATTAGAATTGAGGATACGTTGTTCCACAAAAATCCTAAAAAATTGAGAATTAAAATGAGTGTCGTATTATTGCTTGACAACTAGCTGTAATTTCTCACCTCTTAATTGTCGTTTCCTTTGTTTAACCATCAGCTAACATATTTATCTAACCACTGGGAGAAGTGAGCGTTACATTACTGGCTGGTAACGACGTTAAATAGAAATTTCTACCAAGGTCTAGAAAGTCGACTTTAAAATCTATCCGAGTAATGAGCAACGCCTCGTTTAGCATATGACGGGCTGTTAGGTGTTTTCGCGTTTATCGGCGTTATCGATTACGCGGAAACGATAAACCCCGGTGTGTATCTGTGAAACGTTCAACGCGAGTTCACTAAGGAATCGAGATCCCGCTTGCAGGTACGTCGGCGGTCAAGAGGAGCAGGACGAAGCGAGGATCTTCAGCGACACCAAGTCGATCGGTAGCTTGAGCCAGCACCTCTTCGAGAGCGACGAGGACGAGCGTTACTACGGTACCTGCAACGGCTATGTCTCGCAGCCCGGCAGCAAGTCGAACCTGCTGCTGTGCAGCGAGTGCGACCAGAAGACACGTACCTGTACCTACCGACCGCAAACGCCTGGCTCCTACGGCGGCAGATACGTGGAGGAGCGGATGGAAGACCGACTGCAGGAGCCAGGAACCTCTCGTGCCTACAGAAGCCCGGTGAAGCTGTCCTCTCCGCGCTCTTACCACGCGACGGATCAGGATCGTGTGGCTCAGACGGCATCACCTCGGTCCACGTACCACGATCCGGAACAGCCGGCGCTGATCACGTCACCTCGATCTTACCGAGGTCAGGAGCAGCAACGGCGCGGACGGACCGCGAGGAACACGGACGACCGAGGTGACGTCGACCGAGGCGAGTACCTCGACCAGTTCTGGTCGAAGGATTGATCAAGTTCGCTTCGCTTAACCCGTTTGGATGGCTTTAGTACTCCCGGATGGCTGGCTCTCTCTCTCCTCGCCGTTACTTCCGGTATACAGAACGCATTTTCGCCGCGCTCTCACCACACTCTCCATCGACTCGGGATCCTTCCTTGATTTTTCTCGAAAATATTCTTCTTCAATATTCACCAACATTTCAAATTTCGCAGCAATCTCTCGTTCCGAACAATCATGCACCACCCTTCTTACGTCGCTTAAGCCCAGATCCAACTTCCGAATTTCGTTGAAGCAAGATCCACTGGAATTATCGGCGGATCTAGCAGTTTCTTCTCGTTTGACAGCACCGAACAAATCCGAGCAAAGTTGGCACATTATTTTCCACCTGCTTCTCACACCCGTGTGAAACGCATCCCGCAGTCCTCCACAAACGCAAAACCCGCCGCCACTCGCTCGCTTATCTCAGCGTAACACACCCATGCATCATCACCGACTCCGCCTTGCATTTCCTCGCTGACGTTTCGCGCGGCCTCCGCGGCGACGGCTCGCCGTCGGGGGTTGCTCTCCGAGGGAGGCGACGATCGTAGCAAAGACCCGAGCGCTCTCTCGAGGCACACCACCAGCCGTGCCTAACCCGTCGATCTGCTCACAGACCGCGACGAGAGCCCGACCTGCGAGCTCTGCCGTGGTAACGGCTACGTCGTGCACTGCGAGCACTGCGACTTCTCCAGCGACGGCGACCTGATCTGCTTCCGGTGCCAGAGCGACGAGGGCTCGTCCAACGGTCAGATCTGCCCCCGTTGCGAGCGGGAGGCCGCAGGTACCGCCGCGGCAGCAGGCAGGTCCGGCTCGGTGACGGGCGCCACGTCCTCCAGCGACGAGGGCAAGTACCCGGTGGACGCGGTGGTGAAGATCCAGGTGAACGATCGGACGATCGACGTCGACTCCGACGAGACCCCCGAGAGCGAGAGCTCGAGCAACCATCATCCCCAGAGGGGCACGATGGAGAGACTCGACACCATCGTCGAGGCGAAGGGCGACACTGCCAGCGAGAACGACGAGGAGAACGGCGGCACGAAGCTCAACGGTACCACTAGCGCCAGATATCTCAATTACATGATCGTGCTGTTCCTGTAAATAGACGACGTTAAGGTAGATGCGGCCGGGCCGCGGCTCGTGGCGGGCGTCGCTGTTGCCACCGAGGCACTGAATTACGCCGGACGGCGCCACGTGATTTATCGGATTATCGTTACACGCATAGGTGAATGTTAGACCGATTCCACTTTCCCGGCAATCGTTCACACCGTAGCGAGACGATCCCGCATAAAAACGTTCCCCTATTCCAATCCCCCCCCGCCGGATTTACGATTTTTTTCCCCTTCGCGACGCGGTCACCAGCGACCGTCGGATATCGTCGTTTAGGAATCGATGGCGCGAACCGCATCCGGGGCCGCGGCGCGAGCCGCACTGTAAATAAACTGCCACAGGACATAATTGATCCATACGTTATAGGACCGTGTAGGTTAATTAATAGATAGCTCGTAATAGTAAGACGCGAAATCGAGTGTGGGAGAAACAGAGAGGGAGAGAAAGAAAGAGAGAGAGAGAGAGAGAAAGAGAATATTATGTTCGACGCGCGCGTGCAAGTGTTACCATGAGCTGAGATCCGTGACGGTCGACACGTTTCGATGCGCGACTCTTGGAGTGGACTTGTGCAACGATTATAATTACTGTGTCGCAGATTGGTGATCAGTTTAAAGCTCGCTTCGTTACCGATCATCGGTGACGCCGATAATCCAAAATCAAGTCGCCCCCCCGCGTACCACCGACGTCATTCGAGAAAATCGCGTGGCCGGATGTTGAAATTGAAATTTACGCATAATTGGCACAAAAGTTCGGCGTAAAATTGCACATTTCGGCGCGAAAATCAGCTCTAATATCCCCAGCTCGGGAAGAGAAACGCGAACGAATGCGAACGACACGTAGCTTATCGTTGATGATCTCTCAGATATAATTTCTCGTTATTCTTATCTCCCCTCCGTTAAATAAGTTCGACATTTATCTCTTTAATTTTATTACAATGCGCGATTCAATTCGCAAAAATCGTTATCGATCGTTTCGGTGATGATTTTCAAAGGCGACATCGGCGGTTGATATCACGAGTAATTACGATTCTTGCACAATTCTTTACTAACTCATGTTCGGGACCAACTAAAGCCATCATCTACATCACTGTTTCCGACTTCCGCTTCCACCCGTGGTCATCGTTTGTTCGTTTGGTCGTTTGGTCAACGACGATGGGTTATAAGGCACCGCAGAACCGCAAGTAACCTACCGATTCCCGAGGAAAATCGATGGCGTCGTCACCTTCGTAGGCAGCGTTCCGAGACAGTCGAACCGAAAACTTCGTTTCCGCGCAACCAAGTGAATGAAGCGGAGAAAAACTAGAAAAAAGAAAGAACATTGATGACGTTTAGAGACGATACACGAGCGCGCGAATAACAGCAATCCTCGTAGAAGGAAGAGTGAGAGAGAGAGAGAGAGAGAGAGGATAGAAAAGCGATTTCGTTCTTCTCGCACGTTTGTAACACGCGGCAGCGGTTTTTTTAATATTTATAAATCATCGAAAATAGCCTTTACTAGACGTGTACATTTTTTTAACGTTCATCCCGTCTCGTTATGCCCGGAACTTTCCGGCTCATCGGAGAACAAATCGAATGTGTGAGAACGATAGTGAACGAGAGAAGGATAAAGGAATAAAAAAAAGGGGGAAAATAAATTCAATTATGTTATCCAAGAATAACAAGTGAAGATTGAGACCGGTGTGATTTCGTAAAGAATTGTACGCGATTATTGCACTTTTAATTTCGCACTATATTTATATTTATATAAATATAAACGTTTAATTTCGCATTATATATTTCTATTTATATAAAGACAAAGATTATTTTAACGCTTCTCCGGTATCGAAATTGAAACTCGTCGAAATAATGGTGGATTAAGAAATGCTTAAAAATCCCCGCATAAAATCTTATTGAAGGTTAAGCGTCTTGAGAAATTCTCAAGAAGCATTGAGCCTTGACAATTCGGTAATTAATAAAGTAAAAAAAATACACGAGGTAAACATTTTGTGGCTTAAGATGTCCCAGATGGGACACTCGTCGCGATAATTCCCTGGGAAATTACATCGGCGTCAATTATCGGATTCTGCAGCGATGTGTCAACTCGAGGAGCGAGGGGAGAGGTAACATCAATTTCGCAGGACTAGACTCATGTCATCTGTATGATATTCACGCTGAATAACGTCTACCATGTAAGGGATTATCCTTAAGAAGTATCAGTACCCGGTAAACTGATCCCGCCGTGTCGCGAGCTCGCGGTAACTCGAGAAAGGGAGTGAGAATGGACGAGCAGGGCGGACAGGAAAAGGGGGAAACATCGGGAAACATCGGTAGTTCAGTACGGGGGAAATACATGTAGTGATTAAGTGCTCTTACTACGAAAATTAAAAAGCCACGGAGGATCTCCTCGCGAAGAATCGAGCGTGCGACCCTCGCGCGCGGTCTCTCTACTCGCTCGAGTTACGACGCAGCTCGGCTCGGCTCGAGGGGGGAACGTCGTTCTACTGCCACGTTGATTTAGAACACCTCTGTAAATTCGTTAAGATTTGTAACGTTAGAACGACCTCGACGAGGTAATGTCGAGGAACACATCTACTCCCGCGCGATCCCGAAGTGGGCGAGATTTGAGAACGAGTTTCTCCGTTTCTCCGACGAGATCGACTTTGTCCGAAGGGCGAACATCTTCGCAGAAGTTACTCGGTGTCGAAGTGAAGCGTATTCGACGGATTCGAGAGTACGTCGTGGTAAATTAAGGATAGATTTCAAAGTCAGGCCTGCGGGAGAGAGAGAGAAAGAGAGAAGACGAGCGAAGTAAAACTCGAGAGTTGTGCTTTTGAGAGTTCCATGTTCGCGAAGTAGCTCTCAAAGACCGGAGCACCTGTGTGTAGTTATCAGATGACAGTCACTGTCTGTCTTCCGATCGCAAGTTCATTCCAAGACGAGAATTTTGTCAGCACAGCTGTTCTTGAGACCGAGATCTCCTCGAGGATATATATCTAAAGTCTTAGCGTTTACATGCGTATATGTTCCACTAAGGGGGAAACGAGATGTTCCTTCTCAAGGCAAAACGTTTGCTGTTCTTCAAACACGCCGTTTCTCCGGACACCGTGTATCTTGCGCGAAGTGGATCTCGCGTTTTGCAATTTGCAACGA